TTATAAACATTTTTGACGTGACAACGTCTTATAAATTGGTTTGCCGGGTGACACTTCAAGAAACTGCGTTACGCTCCGCTCACGTTATGCGCTCACAATGAGAGCGAGTGAGAGGCACGCGTCCCTTCCACTCGGGCATGGTTAGCCCGCCTAAGAGCGAGAGAGACAGACATAAAAAGTGAAAGGCACGCGTCCCTTCCACTCGAGCACAGTTAGCCCGCCTAAGAGCGAGAGAGACAGAGCGAGAGAGAGAGAGTGAGAGAGTCGTTGTCACGTAAAACTTTCGCCCGTATACCGACTTTACAGGCAACCAATATTTTTTATAGATAAATAGATTATAATGTTCTACCATATTGTAGTCAAGTAGGTAATACAAAACTTAAATACAAAATTTCCTAATAATAGTTACGTAATTGATTTAAAATACATTTTTGTTCTATTCTTATGTAGAATATAATTCTTATTATCGTTAATGATCTGAACATTAGGTGAACATTCTCTACTACTATACTACTTTGTACGGACCTGAATATATACTTTGGAACTTATTGCCAGTTTCATTCTTTATTACAATCAAATCATTCGGCTTATACGTTACAGGGTTAATGTTACGATCATACTTTGCTTTTCTTTTTAATTTACTAGATATTAAATTATCTCGTGCTTCTTTTTGTGACGTCTGTATTCTAAATTTTAATTCTAAAGGATAATTATCAGAATTGTACAAAGGGTCAATTTGTCCTGATTGTAAATTAGAGGGTAAATTACACTTTTTACCGAACACCAATTCAAAAGGAGTAAACTTAGTCTCCGTCTGTATCGCAGTGTTATAGGGGAAACACCAAAATGGAAGCCACGTGCTCCATGTTTCCGGGTGATTTCGTCTGTCTGTCTGAATTCGTAAATAGTTACCCATATGTTTGTGTGAGTTCTCCAAGGCACCGATACTTTGATGATGGTATGCGGTAGACTGCAACTGGTTAATATGTAAAAGTTTACAAACCTCTTTTAATGTATTTGACAAGAACTCCATTCCCCTGTCTGTTGCTATCTCTTTTGGGATACCATATCTAAGAATCCAATTATTTACAAAACTTCTGGCTACTTCAGTTGAATTTTTTTGACATCAACGGATAAGCTTCAACATACTTGCTCAACTCACATTGTATAGTTAAAATGTACACATAATTATAGTAATCTCTATTTAACGGCCCTACTATGTCTAAATATATTTTTCAAACGCTGAATTTGCCGTTGAACTAATAGTCATAGGCTCTTTAGTATGGTGTGACGAATGTTTTTGTTTTTGACATTGGTCACACCTTTTTACAAACTCAGTAACATCAACCTCTAATTTTGGCCAAAAATAATATTTATTTATGTTATTAACCATTCGTCTTAAACTTGCATGGCCACTTGTGGGCAAAATATGGAAATCATTAAAGATTACACGTCGATCATCTTTATTAGTTATCCTCTTTGTACCGCTTAAAATACATATACGTGGTCCGGACCAATTACTTACGTTCTTAACTTCTTTAACTAATTTTTCCACAAATATATTATTTTTCTCGGTCTTAATGAAGTATACTTCTTTTATCTTAATTTTACCACAAAATATATTCAGCTCTCTCACAAATTCGCCTGGCGATAGTTGCAATCGAGAAGCTAAATTAATAAAAATAGTATTTATTAAAGGTACATAACTGAAACATCCCTTTTCTTGTGCTATCTCTTTCAAGTTACGATATCGATTTAATTCATAAGCGCTTATGAAACGTAATTCCGTGAAATATTTCGGTTTGCTATATATTTCAATTACTTTTGGTTGATCAGGCCAATCGTCTCCAGAAATAATAGCATCCCGTTGTTGCCTAGCTACCTGGCCATGCATCACTACATTCATCACAGTTTGATTCATCTCTTTCAATTCTTCCGAAGTTATTTGCAAACGAGAAAGTGCATCAGCAGCAGAATTATTTTTCCCTTTTAAATATTCAAGTACAAAATCATATTCTTCTAATGTTAGTCTAAATTTAATTAAACGGCTAGATGGATCTCGCATTCCGAATAGATAAATAAGTGGCTTATGATCAGTTTGAATTTTGAATCTCCTTCCATACAAGTATGGCCGAAAATGTTTTACGGCCCACACAATCGCAAGTAATTCTTTTTTCAATCGTCAGGTACCTTTTTCTGCCTTATTGAGACTACGACTAGCATAGGCTACAGGCCTTCCGTCGCTATTGCACAAAACTGCCCCTACGCCTTATCCTGACGCATCTGTTTGTAGAACAAATTGATTACATTCTGAAAAATCAGGATACTGTAATACGGGATGAGATATTAAATTTGTTTTTAAAAATTCGAACGATTTTTGACATTCCTTATCCCATGTAAAGGTCACATTTTTCCGACACAAGTTATTTAATGCATGTGCTTTTGTAGCAATATTAGGTAAAAATCTCCTGTAATAGTTCACAAAGACAACAAATCGTTTAACTTCGTTGACTTTAGTAGGAACTGGGTAATTTTTAACAACCTCTATTTTACCGTATTCAGGTACAACTCTCTTTTCTGATACAATATGACCCAAATAAAGTAGTTCTTTCTGTAAGAAAACACACTTTTGAGGATTTAACTTCAGATTCACTTTACGTAACCTTTCGAAAATAGATTGTAAATTTTTTATATGAAACAAACCAAATAATCTTGATAAACTAGGAATTTTTCGTAAGTTAACCCTGTCATCGCCATAGTCATCATACGAGAAAATGAACGGGCTGGTCTTTAAGCCCATAGGCATCCTTGTCATCTGAAACTGTCCCGAAAAAAAAGCAGTGTACTTGCGACTGTTTGGGTCTAAACTAACGTTATAGTAACCTTGATGTAAATCTAAATGAGAAAAATACATGCAACCAGATAACGAATCTAATATTTCCGTTATATTTGGAAGTGGAAATTTATCATCATGTATACTGTTATTAAGTTTTCTGTAATCTATGACCAAACGCCATTTTTTGTTTCCGTTCTGGTCACTTTTCTTCGGCACCAGCAAAATTGGACTGGACCATTCATTCTGACAAGGTTCAATAATATTCTCTTTCAGCATTTGATCAATTTGATTATTAATTTCATTTTTTAAAGCGTAAGGCAATCTATACGGTTTTGAAAAAATCGGCTTAATATCGGTTTTTACTTCAATTGTGTGTTTTTTTTTATGGTTTCCGCCGGTGGGTACACCCCCACCAACAGGAGTATATTGGCAGTTTTCACAGTTTTGTACACTTTTTAAACATTTTTTTATTACTTATTTCTATGACACATGGAGAAGGCTACGCGTTTCTGCTATTTGATACATATTGCGTATGCCTTCTCTTTATATTAATATAATTTGTTTAAGAGTTTGAAATTTTTGTACATAGTTATTATTCTAATAAAATTATCATTTGGTTATCATAGATATTCTTGTGTTTTCGTAGTCACATCAGAAAAGAAAAATAAGAGTGATGAAAATACAAAAAGAAAGAATAAAATGAATTAAATACTACAACAAAGAGTAATCTTGACTCTAAGCAAAAAGTATAGTGTAATGACAATTAAGTAATATTAATTCTAAACACAGAAAACGTTGTATAAAGACAGCAAAAAGGGAGGAAACGAACTCATAGAGTAATCTTAATTCTAAACGTTTTATAGTAACAGTGGTATAATAAAATAATATAATGACAATGAAATTAATTGAAATAAACAATCTTAGTTCTAGGCACATGAATAAAAATTGTGAGTACAATAGGGTTGATAACAGTGAAAATTAAAATATTAAAAGCTCAAAGGATCTTAATTCTAATGATAATCAAACGTTTAACAATTACAACATACAATAATTATTAATTATATCTAATAGAATAAATAAAGAAAACAAATTAAAGAGAAGTGGTTGCTTAGTTACTAACTATTACTATTGCTATTTACAGATGCACAGTTCTTATTGAAGTTCTTAAGTCTTTTAAAAATGTTATTAACAAATTGAATGAAAGAGTCCAAAAGGGACTTCTTCTTCATTAATGCGGTTAAGTTAAATAGAGGAGTTCTTAAATTTTCACAAAGTATGACATGATTTAATCGTTGCACTGAAAATGCTGGGCAATGCTCAGTGAGATGTTCCAGAGTTTGTGGGGTGACGTTATCACAAGGACAATAATTATTGTCAATTATTTTGCAGCGATAAAGATAAGCTTTGTGAAAACCATGGTTGGTGAGCACCTGGGTGAGGTAAAAACTGGGTTTGGTGATAGTGCGTAACTTCTCGATATCCTCCAGTGTTGGAAGCAGTCGTTTGGTATGTTGGCCCTGCTCTGCGCTATAATACCTAGCTTGCCAGGTCGCGCGATTTTGAGTTCTGATTGTGTGTTTGAGGTATGAAACGGGAAAGGCCAAGTAGTCAGGTAGTTTGCGCAACTTGGAGCCAGCATTCGCAGCCTTATCAGCTGCCTCATTGCCAATATATAGCTATGCCAGAATGACTCCTGACCCATCCCAATTCTATGATGCCTGTTTATCGGTAGTCGTGTATAGTTTTGTGTATTTGTGTAATGATGGGGTGTGTGTTGCTTCTGTTTTGTACAGCGTGTATAGATGAGAGTGAATCTGTATAGATGACTGTGTGTGTATATTTGTGTTCTTTGATCCACCTGCATGCCTGCAGAATGGCAAATAGCTCCGCTTGAAATACTGTACACGTGTTGTGCAATTTAAACTTCTTTATGTAAGCCACTTGATTAAGATTAGTAGGGAGATAGCCCACGAAAGCGGCTCCCACTGCACCGTCTTCCTGCTTACTACCGTCAGTGAATATAAAATGTGTCGTCTGTTCGGATGCAGATCCCGTAGATGTGAAATTTGTAAATATTTTAGGAATAAAGGAAATACGTTGGGCAGGATGCAGGAGTTGAGAGACGGGAGTTGGTTTTTCTAGAGGGATGTCGCTGGGGATGTAGTCAGAGGTACCCAGAAGCCGAGCTCTTTCCACAGCGCAAACTTCCCGCACTTTCAGGTCCGCACTGGGCTAACGCCAGGGCCGCGGATGAAGATACCGTGCGGAATCCCCTAATAGCCTTAATGGCAAATCCGCGCTGCATGCTCCCGAGTGCCCTCCTGATGCACCTTTTCTGGGCAACGTGTCCCCAAATTCCAGCAGCGTAGGTGATAGTTGGCACGATCACTTGGTGGTAAATGGTACTGATGTTCTCAGGATGGGCTCCCCATGTGGGTCTCGAGTACATACAAAGTGTGTTGAAGATTCGCACAGCCTTGTTGATAACCTGTTTCACGTGTTTCCCAAAGTTTAGTTTTTTGTCTAAGATGACTCCCAACAGTTTAACCTCTGGCACAAAGGAAAGACGGTGTCCGTCCATGTTAATGCTGGCTACCTTAGCCTTGGGAGTGAAGGCAATGAGCTTAGTTTTAGTGGGACCGAAGGTCAGCTTGACGCTCCTTCCCCACTCGACTATATGGTGGAGAGCTAAGTTGGCAGCACTCTCCAGCTCGCCGACACTCGCGGCCGTGACAACCAGCAAGACATCATCCGCAAAAGCCTGTATGTGACAGCCCGCTGGAAGCCTCGCATCGAGCAGCTCGTCTAGTATGATATTCCAGAGAACAGGCCCACACGTGGAACCTTGTATGCAGCCCTTAGACATCGTCTTGGTGACTCGCCTCCCCGCATGGTCAAGGATGACCTTCCGATCGCGGACATAATCCTGGATGAGTCCAAAGATGTTATTAGGGCATTGAATATGCCGCAACCGGTGGAAGAGTGCAGGCCACCAAGCGTTGTCGAAGGCTGCTTTAATATCTAGAGATATCGCGATGCTGAGGTGTTTTTCTGATTTGGCTAATTTAATTATTTTAAGAGCTGTGTGAATGGCTTCGCACGTGTTTGTCTGTTCCCGGAAACCGAACTGAAATTTGTTTAGTCAATTGTTTCGCTGCGCGTGGTATACGACCCTTTTGATAAAAAGCTTTTCCAACAGTTTGCCAAACACAGGTAGAAGTCCTATTGGACGAAAGGACTCTAATGCGCTGTAGTCGGACTTGCCCGGTTTCGGGATAATTTTTACGTACCATCAGGGAAGTGTTGGAGTGTAAGACAACGGTTCAGTATATCTGTCAGGAGTCTAGGGTAATCTGTTGCAAATTGCTGACATATGTCGGATGTGAAGTTATCAAGTCCGGGAGCCTTCTTGGGGCTCATTTGTTTTAAGCACTCTAACACCTCCTCCTGGGTGAAGGGAGGATCATCGTGGGACTGAGGAAGGTCGGTCATTTCTGATCTGAGCTCGTGATGTCGCGTTAAGGTGTCTGGTAAGTCATCTGGGTAGAAGTGGTCAAGAAGTGCTTTGGCAGTCTCCTGGCTGTCTGTGGTGTAGGTGGAGCCCCTATTAAGAGTGACTGGTGGGCGCCTAAGGGTGGCATTTTTGAGAAGTCTGTTCGTGAGTGACCAGACATTTTCCTTAGTTTGCAATTCGCAAAACTCACGAAAATGCCTAGTCGACTCCTCACGCATCTTGTTGGCGTATAGTTCCTTTTTTTGTTTCCTCGTTTCTAAAATATGTTCCAGAGGCATACCTGTGCTTGGCACGTGGAGCTGATGGTGTAAATCCACCACCTCCCGCTTGAGGATCTCCAACTCCTTCGTCCACCAAGGAGCCTTGGGCTTTGTTCCCCGGCTTTTAACATGCATGCTGGCTCGACATGCAGAGTGGATCACATTGGTTAGTTCGTTGATGATATGTTCCAGATCATCAACGTTCAGGGTAGAAATGTCATGTTCGAGTATGTTTGTGAGTGTCATGTGTGTGTGCAGTTTGTCCTTAAAGATAGGCCAACAAGCTTTATTAGATTTGTACAGGAAAGTGGAGTTTTGATATGTGTGTGTGGTGTTAGATGTGTCAAAGTCGATGCAATAGTCTATTGCATTATGCTGGGAAATTGGTGAAATGTTCAAGTTGACACGCCACTCCAAGATGTTATCAATGATGGAGCCGGAAGCAAATGTGAGATCGATTATTGAAGAGCGATCTCGCCCGTGGGTGACCGTTTCAAACGTAGGGATGTTACCAACGTTGCATACATACATGTCATTGCTGTGTATTATTATCTATAACTTCGTTGCCCCTTGGGTTTGATTTTACGCTTCCCCAAATCGGGTGCCACCCATTGAGATCGCCCCCCACTATCTTATGAGAATCGCCTGTGTTTTTAAGAAAGACGTCAAGCTTATCGAGCGTATTTGATTCGTCAATATTGGGTTCCACATATATGGACGCAATATAAATATTGCGATTACCAAACGTGATTTTTATTGCGCAGAAGTTGGATGTAGAGTATTGCGATAGTCCCAAGATGGACCCGCATCCTGGTTTTGCCAGGATCCAGGCCTTAATCTTGTTGCCCGTGAAAAATTGATATGTGTCAATTCCAAATGTTGATTTTACCTGTTCTCCAGAACCAATATATGGCTCGGAGATGAGGGCGATGTCATAATCACCGGCCATAAAGGAGAGAAGAATCTCATGTTGTGCATTCTTACATCTGTCGAGGTTGCACTGTAAAATTTTTAATTTATTATGTGTATCCATAGTCGACACGATTATTTATCTTCTCCCTCATGGCTCGCAAACGTTGGCAGGTGTTGGAGTTAGCCGTGTGTTTAGTGTCCAGTTTAGTGTTGAAACGCGTATTGTGTGTTGGCAGTTTTGCATCGCTGTCGGTCTTATCTTTGTTAGAACAATTGCTCACATCGTGCTCTGTGCTCGCACAATGTGAGCAGAAGCTTTGGTCCGCAGTGCACCTTAGTTTTTTATGGCCGAACTGCAGGCACCTGTGGCACTGGAGGAACGGCGAGAAGCTAGCAACATGGACGCACTGGTAATCGATGCTGATACGACCCATTGTTAACATTTTTCTGTATACCTTAGGATCAACTAGAAGAACCACGTTATACAGGTTATTGTTCTTATTGTCCCGTTTAAATCTTAGTTTGAGGCCCTCGCCATCATCACTGATAATTTCGTTAATTTCCTCATTTTGCTGTCTAATAATTTTTGCAAGATCGTCTGCTGGAACATCCTTTGATATGCCCTTTAATATGACCATGGGTCTAAGTTTCCGTACGGGTTCAGCCTTAATTCCAGTTTTTCCCTCGAGCCTGGTTAGGGTGTCATTGCGTTGAGTCTCCGTGTCGAACTCGACACGCAGCTTGTTGTTGGACACAGGCTGAATACGAGCCGGTGCGTAATTGGCATTGCGGTAATTAATGTTTTTTTTAAATAATTCCACAGCCTCCTGGCGTGTATTAACCTCGACGGTCGGGCTAACTATGATCGCCGGTTTAGTCGCTGGTGCGGAGTTGCGGAGGGCGGTTGGCCCAGCAGGTGCAGGAGCCCCGTGAGTCGCTGCTGCTGCTTGTGCGTAAGAGGGCTTGTTGGCTGAGACAAGTTTTTTAACACTGGCAATCTCCTCCCTCACACATGCGAGGATCTCATCCTTTAACTCGCTGTTTGATGTTGGTGTGCTAGAGGAGGCGACAGACTTGATGGAAAGGAGAGATCGTGTGGCAGTTCTAATTTCTTCAGCAGCCTGGCTAATGAGCCGCGTATTAGCAGCGGTCACCCTCTTCCCTTCGTTTACCGCGGTACTGATGCAGGAGGTAAGTTTGCTTATCACCATATAAAAACTGTCTATGTCTTTAACCTCCTCGGCCGAAGCTGGGAGGGGGAGGGGTTCGCCCTGTGACGGCGCCATTTTCACTCAACACGCATAATACAATGTAAAAAGTTGATAACACGAAAATAATAAATTATTTGAAAAAAAAATTAAAATGTCTATTATTGATATATACTGGTTTAAAAAGTGCATTTTTAATGTACAGAGATAATATACACTCAAAAATTAAAGGAATAATAAGAATATAAATAATTTAAAAGAATAGAAGTTATGTAAAAGAAAAGTACTTGTTCAAAAAAATATCTAAAATTTTGCACTGTTATTCTATAAGAGTTGATGCACTTGATAGTCACCAAAAATAGGTTATCACTCATAATTTTCTTGCAATAATTGCTTCAATTTACAGTACATACTTGGGAAAGAACTGCAAATAGGCTGGTAAAGTCCAAGATAATGATTTCCCCCCCCTCTCACTCACCTATCCGATGGCCCACCACGTGGTTTTAGTAAAAACAACCAACACTTGGAGATGCGTACTCCAGAAATTCCAATATTTGGTGGGAAGTTGGAGGATCACAAGACGCACAAAACGACACCAAAAAAAACTATGTGTACCAGCGAAAAATCGTGCGCCGCACGCGATTTACCGTTTTTTAGGTTAAGTCATATAAGGAAAAATGGTTTTTCACCTGAAAAAGTTCGAAAAAAATATCGTCCGGCTATTTTTAAAAACACCAAAAGATAGGTCTCGTTTAGATGCAACTTTTAAGATCAAAAACACTGTTATTCGATCACTTTTTCCCCACTTTCCCAAATTTTAAGTGCGGAGCGTCGCAGTTTCGTGGCGTTCAACTCCGTCGATACCACTTAATTGTGTGTTGATAAATATCAGTGGTTGATAATTTGTCCCCTTCTAAGTAAAAAATATCGGAATATTTAGCACATAAATTTTGTATATTAACTTTTTCCTCTTTATTTAAATTATTTAATTTTAATTTTGACAATAGTGATTTAACTCGCGATGCATTTTTCTCAATTTTATTAAAGTTACAGATGTAATATTCTTTCGAGCTTTGTATATCAAGTTTTATTTCGGACACAGTTACGTCTTTTGTAGTCGTATTCAAAATTCGGACTGGTATTTTACCATTAATTGGGCTTACTAATGTACTAGCAATAAACACGCCCTCGCATATTTCTTTCGTACATACCACACATTCTTCTGTTAAACTAGTATTAATGTAGTGAATGGATTCTGATCTGGCAGGTAAAGATAATAAATTACTACACGAGTCTATTAATTGTAAACTTATTTGTTTAGATTCATTGAGCCATAATGATAGAGTGTTATGTTACATATCTATAACTGCTCCATACCTTCCTAAGAAGTCCTGCCCTAGAATACCGTGCGCCTTACAAGGTAGCGTGTCAAATACATAAAACTTATGACGAATACTCTGCTCATGTATTGTTAACTGTGAACATACATATCCGATTGCTTGAACCTTACCACCTATTCCATTTATAGTTATATTTTCTTTGTTCATTGGTATCTTAAAATCTAGAACATGCCTATATTTTATGGCTGAAATCGAAACTTCTGTATCTATGAGCCAATTAAACGCGTATATGTTGTTATAAAATAACTCTATATAATAACTACTATCGCTGGCTAAGATGCTATAT